CACGATGTAATGTAACCCATCATGCAAACACTTGATCTCACAGCATCAATCATGTACCAAATTATTAACAGCATCACATTTTCCCTCAAGTTACCTCTTTACCACAATACTTTTCCAGCCTTCAGCCACAAGGGTGCAGAAGCAGAGAAAAATCTTTTCATTTGCAGGATGTTGTCTTAATGACAGCAAAATCCACATGCAATTCCGTGGTCCAATATCAGCAATGGCTACACTCACCACAAGAGAAACCCAAGAAAATTCAGATAAGCTTTCCTTACTTTTTTTTTTCATATACCCTGTCATGTATTTTGCTTCTGATGCTGTCGTTTCTGTTGTTATTGCTGTTTGCGGTTACTCTTAGTCTTCCTCTTATTAACTGTATTTATTATTTATTTTGTAGATTTTTGTTGTGTTTCCTCTTGCATCAAGGTGGGAGGGAGGGGAGGGGTTGAATTTCTGGCTATTGTTGTATTTATAAGGAAGCTGTAAAACACCCTAAGGGCTACACAGCACCTGGCAAAGGGACGTTATCAAGTACGATCCTAAGAAGGTAGCTCAGCTTCCTTTGATGAAAAGCCCTTTGCTAACATCAAAGCAGAGTGCCTCGTAGCTGGCAAAAGCAGCAGGTCGCCTTAGAAGCTGTAATCTCATCTGATTGCCAGCAGGGAATTATTAAAACACTTTATTCTAGTGATCCTTTTCTTGTTGTCTTGTTCAAGGGGCGACTGACAGCTCACGATCTATCAAACCCTATTTTGGCAATCTCTCATATTCATATCCGATAAACCTCTCTTAATTCAGATCCTTCTCTATAGCTGTTGGTAGTACAGAAACCTGTTTTGTTATGGCATTAGCAGGAGTTATCTTAGAGTATCTGGCCAGAGTCATGGCATAACAATCACTTCTATATATTGAAAATCATTTTAAACATCGTCTATGCTGTAAGTCCTTAATTAGTCTGTGTGTTTTAGAGCCTATCGACTACACTAGAGCCAATAACATTGCAATTCACCTGTGTATTTTTGTAAGTGTATTTTTGGGGGTCTGAAACTTACTAATCTAATTTACATTATTCCTTATGAGAACAAATTCGTTTGGTATCGGCACTCGAACAGCCTTCTGGAACGAATTAAGTTCGTAACTCGAGGTACCACTGCATATATATACTAGACTATCTGCACATTTATGTGTATATACACTGAGAGACATGCATTACATAGAAATAATCACATCCCAATATAAATGTAACGAGATATTGGCATCTCTTTGTACACAGATAGATATCCATCTCTCGCTATATATAACGTCGCCGCAAAACCGATGGAATATATAACTGATGCGTGTTATTAATAGACGGAATTCCTGAGGCACACAACTACTAGCAATCCTCCATAAGACATACAGAATAGAATATCACAAGCTTGTTGGGGAGAGAGTGGTATTAACGGGTGGACAATGGACCAGCAGTGGAATATCAAGATTGTGTGCCAATCCATGATTGATGTGCTCGCTTGCCTGATCTAATGGTTTTCTTTACACTGACTCAGGTACAGTATAGGAATCGTTATCCTTCCTCAGTTGGTTTCAAAGTCAAGATCTGTTATCCTTCCTCAGCTCGTTTCAAGACCCAGCTCTGTTATCCTTCCTCAGCTTGTTTCAGAACTCAGCTCTGTTATCCTTTCTCAGCTCGCTCAGAGCCCAATTTCAAGCTATATTTCTAAGCCTCCCTTCCTTTACCTAGGAGAAGATCCCTCAGCAGGCGTCTCGTACCTGGCTATGTTTTTAAAGAAACGTGACCACGTCTCCAGTCTCCCCAAGGTTAAACTCGTGTTCTTAGGGTGTAATGTCCTGAACCTATCAATTCCATGAGGGTTATTACTGCTTCGTGCCACCATAATACCACTACTCAGGATTGCTTTAAGCCCTGAAATAGAAATTTAGTTAAGATTTCAGTGTGTATACAATCAGATATTTGTATCTCTCGGTGTATATACACAGTATGTACTTTTCAGTGTATATACTGCTATTTGATGTTGTGAGCTACAAGAGTGTCCCATCTTAGGCGGATGAGGCAACTGACGCAGCTCACTTGGTAACTTAGTAAAGTGGCTGTGTGATGAGGCGGCCGAGTTTGTTCCACTTATTCGACTTTCATCACACACCCACTGGCATGTCCTCTCCATCAGTGAGCTGGCAATTTAAAGTATAGCAGTTCTGGGGCCCCATTGGTGTATTAACTGTCCAGTTCAACCCAACAATAAGGTGAGAGTTGGTTCCTTAGCCAAGGTGACCTCACACCTGCCTGCCTTGCTGAGGGTCAAACTATTCCTTACACTGGTCCAGTCCACTCCTGCTCTGTTGTATTGCTAACTTAACTTTGTAAATGTTATACTTATTGGTGAAAGCATATTTGGGAAAAGAATTATTATTATTATAATCAAGGGGAAAGCGCTAAACCCGTAGGATTATACAGCGCCTGTGGGGAGGATGTGGAAGGTATTCAGGTATCCAGTGAAAGTAGGCCCTGTACAAGGATGTGTGATGTCACCGTGGTTGTTAATATATTTATAGATGGGGTTGTAAGAGAAGCAAATGCGAGGGTCTTGGCAAGAAGTGTGGAGTTAAAAGATAAGTATCACACATAAAGTGGGAGTTGTCACAGCTGCTCTTCGCTGATGACACTGTGCTCTTGGGAGATTCTGAAGAGAAGTTGCAGAGGTTGGTGGATGAATTTAGTAGGGTATGTAAAAGAAGAAAATTAAAAGTGAATACAGGAAAGAGTAAGGTTATGAGGATAACAAAAAGATTAGGTGATGAAAGATTGGATATCAGATTGGAGGGAGAGAGTATGGAGGAGGTGAATGTATTCAGATATTTGGGAGTGGACGTGTCAGCGGATGGGTTTATGAAAGATGAGGGAATCATAGAATTGATGGGGGGAAAAAAAAAAAAGTGAGCGGTGCACTAATTGGAGTCTGTGGGAGACATGAAGTTTGTCCTTGGGGAGGCAAAGAGGGGAATGTATGGAGTATAGTTTTACCAACGCTCTTATATGGGGTGTGAAGCATGGGTGATGGAATGTTGCAGCGAGGAGAAGGCTGGAGGCAGGGAGGTTTCATGTCTGAGGGCAATGTGTTGTGGTAATATAATGCAGAGAATTCGTAGATTGGAAGTTTAGGGGAGGTGCGGGATTCCCCAAAAAACTGTTGTCCAGAGGACTGGGGAAAGGGGGTGTTGAGGGGGGTTTGGGGGTTTTGTAGAGAGAATGGAGCGAAACAATGATTCAAGGGGTGTATCAGTCTGTAGTGGAAGGAAGGGCGGGGTAGGGGTCGGCTAGGAAGGTTGGAGGGAGGGGCCCATAAAGGAGATTTTATGTGCGAGGGGCTTGGACTTCCAGCGGGCAGGGTTTGAGGTTGTTTGGTAGGAGTGTGGAGCAAATGGTTTCTTAATATTTGACGTGCTGTTG